GATTATTAACACGTCAGTTTAGTAGCCTCCATTAGGAATATACAATGGGCTTTGCTGACATGGTGTCAATTGACTTGACCACAGGAGATTCGGTGACACTGACGGAGATGGTGAGATCGGAAGTGATCTAAGATAAATCCTGGTTTTAACACCATGTTTGAATAAGTAAGCAGTTAAACTACATACTCTTCAAAATTAGACAGTGAGAAGGTGTGTGTGACTCCTGAGGGAAATGTGCTAGTGCTCAAAGGATCAAAATCATCGGATAACGGCTCTGATAGCGTAAGCGACCTAAGGATTATCATCTTAATGATAAACAATTATTCAACTATATCTTTTAAAAAAGCTATACGTTTTTTCCGACGATAAGAGTGAGCTGAACTCGTTGACGGTGGATAAAGTAGTGTCCACCGTTAGCAGTTCTGCAATTTCTGTTTTATAAAATTTATAGTACCATAGTAAAGGATAAGCCAGTTACCTCGAGGACATTTATTTTGTTCCTCGGCATCAGCTAACATGAGTTCTTCCATAAGCACATCTAGCCGTGCTACACCACTTAACTTCGTCACCAAAATGTCTTCGCATATGGAATTTGCCAATGACTGCAAAATGTAAAGTTTTAACAGGGCAAAAGTAAAATCAAACCATAGCTTCTGTATGGCGTAGGTGCTTACCGACAAAGGTGAAAGCAGAAAACATGTCAGGTCACCTAACCGCGTCTTTTCATCAAACTTTCTTGTACGGACGTAATGCTCTAAGGCTGAGAATATGCGCCTTCGGGTATTCAATACGGTAGTGACAGCTAGCGGTGACAGACCTTTTGCAACTAAACGATGAAATTTTCCTCTATCAAATTCGAACTAAGAAGGAAAACATAAAACGGTGGTATGTTGAGTTCAGAAGAGCTAACCTGGATTAAACAATACACATGCTTTAAGCGTAACAAATTCTGCATCATCGATTGCCAGAAATCTCATAGGTGCGACCATCTGGTCCATCATCTTCTCGCAGTCCGAAAGATAAAAATCGCTGAAATATGGATGATCCTACACTGCTAAATAGTTGTAATGCCCTAAAGCCTTCCATTCATTGGTGGCGCCAGACCATAGACCTCATTATCGTAAGGAGAACCAGACGACCATATAAAAGGAAATACGGGACCATTAATTTTTAAGTCAATTTTCAATGTCTTTATTCGCTTAAAGAGTTCAAAATGATGATTCATCAACTTTGGATGATGGAAAACCTTATTATTGCGGAAGAGATGCACGACCCTGTCAGTAAAAGTACTGCCGCTCTTACTTCTGCTAAATCACATTAAAACAGTGACCAAATTTGCACGAGTTAGGATGTTCCTTTGTATGGAAAGTGGCTTTCGATGTCCTGTTAGCTAAAGTAGTCTATATCATAACCTTCAAACTTTAAACTCAGGGAGGGTATTTCAGGATTTTTCCACCTCAGCGCGTTGAGCTAAAAAAGCCAAACATTTTATAGGAGTCAACTTATAAGGAGTAAAAGACCAGAATAGGTTAGAACCACCCTTATATATTTACAAATGACAATTTCACCACCACACGGTTTATGTGGTCTAAATGCAAAAAAAAGCTTAACTGATCTGTTTTTGCTAAGTGTCAATTTACCCATAACTCTGAGAAACGCTCCTAACTTGCCAATTTCGACGATATTCCAAAGCAACCTTATCTCAAATCGAATTTCCCCATTTCCTAAGTGAATTTCTTGCAACAAAGTACAAAAACGAACTTTTTGTCGTG